CTTTTAGCTATCTGTTTATTTAATAGACTATGGAAAATGTTAAGCTCTGTCAAAAAGCCTCATTAAAGAATAATTTATAAGCTACATTTAGATGTTCATCTTGTACACTAGCTTAATGGAGAGCCAAAATACATCCTGGCAGGTAATAATTAATGTAAACCTTGACACTTCAGATCTGTTCTGCCATTCACTGGGCCAGGCAGGAGCAAGTCACAGCCAGTCCTGCTAGTTCTGCAGTGTCTCTGGCATTCACCATGCTGAAAGCTTGGCTGTGTGTGACACACGTGCTTCCCATGTGCTGATCTTTTACCTATTTTGGATGCAAGCAAACGTGTCTGCTGGGAAAACTATTTTGATCACCTAAATGGAGGCCTCCCATGAAGAGGAGCTTCATAGCAGGCAGTTCTCTGACTTCTCTCTGTGCCAGGGAGACCTCATCACTCAGCCAGATTCAAATGAACTGAAATATTGGGCGAGGTCCAGCCTTTGCTGAAGCTGATGGCAGCTCTCCCACTGGCTTCAATAGGGGCAGGATACTATCTGCCATGTTGTTAAGTCATCAGAGTGGATTTTATCAGTGAGATCTGTCTAGTCTTGGCTGAAAAATGCCTTACTGATTTTTAGAGAAGATGAGGGACAGCTCATTTAAAAGCAGAGTAACAGGGATTATGATCAAACATGCCATGCTGACTGCCACAGGTCTGTCACCCTCCCTGTGCCTTCAGAGATGACCCCACATGTGAGCACACCGCATAATTGCCATAATTGGATACACAGCTTCTCTTCAACTCTGCTCCATTAAAATGATCTGATTTGGGTTAATTTTTACAAGCAGATTGCTTTGGGTGGGTGGAGGAGCAGTTCTGACCGTGGTCGTAATGCAGGACTGAAGGGGAGTTGTTTTCTCAGCCTTGCCCAGTTGCAGTAGAACAACTTGCCTGTCTAAAGGCTTGTGTACAAGCAGCACTGTCACTGATTAACTCTGCATGCCTGTGTATCTTAATCCCATTTAATAGGATCACTTGCTCTGGAAAAGCATACCCATAAAGCTATCCAAGAGCAGTTAATGTGGTGCTTATATTTAAACACCAGCTTTAATCTTTGTTAATTTTCAAGTCTAGATGAGATTCAGGACTACTGAACCTGACTAGATCAGACCAGACAACCTACAGGGTAGTTAAAGAACTCCTTTAATCATGTATTTATATGCTGGGATACTGACTATGTCTTCCTACAGTCTTGAAGCCTCATCTGAAGTTGAGCCCCTGGGTGCATCTGGGATATAAATTTAACAACAGGGTCCCATTTTGCCTGTAAGACTTACTGAATAAGAAGGATCAGCATGCAAAGTCCATCTTACATCTTGGGAGTATTCCACAGGTACACCTATTTTTGATGAACAGCTCTTTCAGTCATTCCTCACTGCCTCCCTCCATCTAGCATTTGCTTCAGCTTTCTCCAAATGACTGTCTGGATTGGTTAGGCTCTCTGGCATCGTTTGCTGTTACTGTCTTAATAGGGAGGATTTTACTTTTAATATCTTTTAACTGTCTTTAAAGAGGTTTATCCTTGAACTTTGGGGCCCTGCTTCTCAATTTGCACATACATAGTGACCCATTGGATGGTATAAATCCTAGAGAAAATTACTTGCATCGTAAAAACAGTCTATATTCCTTAGCACAAGGCCTTACAGTACTGCCCTATTAAAGCTGCCCATCTCCAACTTCAGCTAAAGTAAACTTCCTGAGAAACCGTAGGTGTCAGCACTCGGTGTAGAAAGGTGTAAGTATGTGCTTAGCTCTGCTGAGACATGAAGTTTCACTGAGATCAGCAGCACTGCTAAATCAAGCTTCGTTTGGGGGAGCGTCTTTGAGGTCATGCCTCAATTACAAAGGCCCTTCAGGTTGGCACAGGATGCTTGATAATGCTGACAGCAGGCACCTGGGCTGCAGCATACGTGATTTGCTATACAAAGAATTGTATTTGTGTCATGGCAGACTGCATTATCAGTGAAACCTTATGCATTCAGACATGTAAAAAGCCAGTGTGCCTGAACTGTATACGTGCTTCATATAATTACGAAGCTAGACTGTATGAGCAGTTGCACACTGGTCTGGTTTCCCCACCTACGAGCCCTGCTGCTCAGGATCTCAGTTCTGCAGGCGCTGCTTGCAGCAGAACAAAGATCACTGCTGTAAAATGGATTTGTGCAGCCTGTAAGAATGCTACAACCATGCTCCCTGGAGCAAATGGTCTCCTTGAGGGGTGAGTGTTTATCTCTGCTCACCGACACTCGATGAAGCACTGGCCAATCTGATCCTGGAGGGTTTCCCTGATGTCGAGCCCCTCTGTTTCTCGCAGCTGGCCCTTGATGAATTCCTCCTCGTGTCTCCCCTGGACCTCACCTTGCAGGGCATCTTCTTGCTTGGTGTGCATCTGTGGGGTACTGTGAAGGGCCCTCAAGTGAGGAGGGAAGCTCTGAAAACGAGAGGAGAAAAGAAAAGGTGCGGTGAGAAGAAACTTAATACACACCAGAATGCCAGGTTGACAGTGATTCTGAGCTTAGGACTGAATTCATTTACGGGAAGGCAGGAAAAAGCCCTGCTCTCATAAGAAGTGCCTGGATGCACACAATGGCCTATTGTTAGTGTTTCAGCATTAATTAACAACGTTGCAATGTACAAAAACAACCCTTTCAGCTGTGGGATCCCGGTATCTCAATGAGACAGGTGAGAAAGCTGCTGTTCTGCAAATGCCAGCTTTATCCGTGTCAGAAGGGTGCCAGAGGTTTTTAATTGAGTTCTCAAATGTTTGGACTTCCCAGTGGTACTTTTTAATTAGCCAGTATTGTTTTTAATTTGTTCACTTAAAGTTTCATATGCTTGGTCATCGGTTTCCTGGTATTTTGTTGCAGCTGATAATATTCCTTTAGGAAATCAACTTCCTTTGAGGAACAAACAAACAACACAAAAAGAATAAACAGCCTCCCAAATGCTGCAATAAAAATCATGGCTCCCCAAGTTTCCCATGATTTGATAACCTTGGCAAGAAGGACTTCTAAACCAGCCTTACTATAACAATTTCTGCTCCGTGATTGATTTTACATGTGTGCTTGAAGAGAGATAAAAATGAAAGTCTCTCTGGTATGCAAATACAGAAGCATGAAAAATACCATCTGTGTGGGTGGCCCAAAACTTTGCATTTTTCAGTTTGCAATGGTTGATAAAGTTAATGTGTTCCCAGTGTTTTATGAGCCATTCTCACCTTGGAAGGTAAAGAAAAGTGGATATTTTTTTAACAACGTAAATTAGCTTTGAGTTTTTCAGTAATTCCAGAACAAAATAATTCCCACTTACCCGGGACGGACTGATGTTTTAAGACAGTGTGTGTGCCAAACTGAAGAATGGGAAAGAGGAGAAAATGTGATAAGCTGTTCTTGTGATGCTGTGTTTTGTCCTCTTCAAAGGCTGTGGCTCACGTATAGGTGGCAGCAGATGTGAACAAAAGCCCACGTCTGCATTTCTGTCCTGGCTTCCCACCTTCAGAGTGTGTCTTTAACTCAACAGATCTCAGACTGACTCAGTAACACTTTCTCCTCACTCTGACTCTGGAAATGTGTTTTCTACTGTGCTGCAAGTCCTAATTCCAGAGGACTCCCGCAAATACAAGAAAGCTTCTATCAAAGGTTTGGCCAGCTTACAATTAAGATCGGTTATTCGGTGTTTTTCCATGCTTCAACCAGCTTCCAAAAATCACTAACGAGTGCCAAGCAAATTTGGTTTCAGAAAGTATACAGCGGGTTTGCACACCGTCCAAAGAAAGCGTTAGAGGCCCCGTTCAGGAAAGCAATTTACTGCCTTCCCTGCATCTGCAGTGTGTGGAAAAGGAATTGGTCAAGGCCATCACTGAGAAAATATTCAGACGGAAACAAGAAGAGCAGCATGCTTCAGAACGGCAGCTGCACTTGCTCTCTGTCTGAATATATGACCCGAAGATGTTTGCCTCTCACCCTGAGATGTTATCTTCACTCATTTGTCACTTTCTATAGCCATCAAGTGTTTCCAATTCTTCCCTTTCAACAGCAACTCTTTGAAAGGACAGCACAGCTACTGTGAGCACTACTGATTTGTATTTTACTTGCAACGTTAAATGAACTTCTGAACAGCCAGCTCTAGCAAAGCAGACCCATAGGGCTTGCTTTCCAGGTTATAATTTAGAAGCAAGATTCGCTTCCCTTCCATAGTTCCACGCTCAACTTTTAGCTTCACTGGTGTAATGCTTAAGGAACTGTGCATTCCCAGCAGAGTGCTATGGCCCAGAGGTCCCAAAGCTGCTAATGAAGAGACGAGCCAGCTAAAGCCAACACAGCTATTCCATGTCTTTCTACACTGCTATGGCACAGTCTGAACAGACACTGTGTTAGGCTCAGACAACCTGCTGTTTTTTTCTAACTAGCTGCTCGCTGGGGAAAGTGGAGGGAAAGGCTGCTTATTTAGAAGTATGTTTTCCAGCATTTCCTGCTGAAGACGTGTGAGAAGAACGTGGATAAGGGAAAGAAATCTGGGAATGGAAGAAAGGGACTCAGTATCTCCATGAGCACAGGTAGCTGTGATGAATGCTGGAGGTGTGCTCGGTGATCCCATCCTGTCCTATCTCCTTTGGGAAGCTGGAAGAAACAGAACCAGTGATCAGGCTGAGGCAACTCAGTGCAAGAGGCACAAGGGTATCCTCAGCTTTAGGCTGACTTGCAGGTGGTAGAGAAAGATGGGCTTCTCTGCATGAGTTATGTGACCTCTTAAGGGTGAATTTTCATGAGATGGTTCATTGCTTGAACAGCTGATTGGCCCTGAAAAGGGCCAGTTCCCCTTCCACCCTGTCTGCTGGCTGTGTGGCCCTTGCCTTCTCCTTTTTGGGCTCTGGCACTCCGCTGACCTTGCAGTGAACCAGACCAGCTCTCTAAGAAATAGGAAATAATCTCCTTTATCTCTTCTCTCCCCCAGGTTAATTCTCTCTCATTATAATGAGGTGAATCAGTCAACCAAGGAGGCAGCTGAGAGCCAGAGCCATCGCAAGGGAAGCGGTGTGGGCAACACATGGAACAATGTGCTGAGCAGGAAAGTCGTGCAGCAGCACAGACAGGAGAGCATCCGTTTTCATCCACCTCTGAGCCTCTTCTTCACTCAGCTTCTCAGCTGCTCTCCAGTCAGCCCAGAGGGAGCTTTTGATGGCTAGCTGCTCGTCACTGCAAGTTTGCTGCCCACGTGTCTTTCATCAGTGCCAATGTCTGATGAGGTAAGAACTATTTAAATTGGCAAGAACATGCCTGTGTGAGCAAGACCAGAAGCAGGGGATTCTTATCTCCCAGTAAACTAATACAGACCACACCTACGCTTGAGTCCAAAGTCACGAAGCTGATGTGGACACAGTCCAGCTAACTCTAAACCAGCTGACTCAGATGCTGATGGCAACAGAGCTACAGCACATGCTCTAGACTCCAGAATCCATGCAAGGCCTCTACCTTTCCAGAACGGCTTATGAAGAGATGCTCTGTTGTATTTGCCCTTCATCTTTTTCTTTTCCTTGTTTTGTTTTGCTATTATAAGGCAAACTAAACCACTTCTATCAATGAGAGTCCGGCTAACCATCTTCAATAACTCATTAAAGAACAGGAGGGTTGATATGGCCTCATTCTCATTCAACCGTTCTTTCTTCCAGTCCTATTCCTTCCCTGTTGTTAGTATTTTCTAAATTAGGGTATGCTCACTGCTCACTTATTTACATGGACAAAAAGGCTGCTGCTGATGTGAAATGTGCTGCTGCTTGATTGCTTCCATTACTGGGAGAGTGGAATTTATCTAAGCTGGGTTCATGGGGAGGAGGCTATGGAAAGGAGCCAGCAAGATAGAGAGAGATGGCAGGTACAAAAAGACACTTGATCTGAGTGGGAATCAGTTCTGGCAGGCAAGCTGTTGTGAGTAATGATAGAGAGAGATGTTCATAACAGGCGGCACCCTTTGAAGGACGGACATCCAGTTGACCAATGGGGGTCCTCCCTTGGTGCAAAGCTCTGGAAATAGCACACACTGAGTCAGATGGGTGAGGGAGAGCATGGAAAGAAGAGCAGATCTGGTCATGACAAATGAGTCCTGAAGGATTCATGGCGGTGTAATGGAGAACACATGCAGTGCACTGTGCTTACGAGTGGAGAATGGGAGGCCTGCACATGTAAAGAACCAAGAGCTGGTTTCCTTTCTAGGGGAGGAGGAGGAAAGCACTGAACAGCTGTGAGGAAATCATGCCACAGCTATCTGATTTTAAGGGCAGTTTTACAGGTGAACATGCAACTGGCCTGACTCTTCCTTCAGTTACTTTGAAATCAATGAGTTATGCCAACAAACTTGGTGTCTCTCCGGATCTTCCCAAGCAAACTCCAGCTGGTGGGGTATGAAAACAGACTGAAGAACTGACAGAAAACAGGGACAGGAAAAGAATTATTTTCATTTAGTAACAGGAGGAGAAAGGCGTTGACACGTGAGGAAACATCAAAAGAACTTACATACGCGTGGCCTAGGAAGTAAAATTGGTGATGTCTTAAAAACTGCTTCCTTGACCTGTAAGAACTCATCCAAGATTACATCAGGGTGTGGAAGACCAAGAAACTGAATCAGCTTTAGACTATTACCTACATTCTAACCAGAAGGTGAAATAGATAAAATGGGAGTGAATTGAATGATATCACCTAAAAATAGAGACTCCAGCTGCAGGAGCGACTGAAGAGATATAACAAGATGTCCAGATGATATCAGTTTTAAAATGATGTAATTGTACCATTGTTTTAGCTGTCAGTTCTCTGCCATCTGTTGTGCATTTGCAGCGCGTTTTCATAGAAAAGCTTTGTTTCTTTTGTCAGATAGACTCAAACCAAGGAAAGAAAACCAAGCCCATCCTGGAGCCTATGTATGAGGAAACACGGTTTCCATTTTCTTGCTTTGCAGTTAAAGAAAGAAAATGTGCTAAGCTTGCTTTCTTTTGACCACAGTTCTTGTGCTGATCACAAAAGTATACGTCACCCTAAACTGCTGCCCAGTTGCAAGGAGGCAACTGCAAAAGGTGGGCACTGTGTTCTCTCATCAAGGAGCAGACTTCAGAAGGAAGTATATCTGGAAAACATTGGTCCATCCAATAATGGAAGAAATAGGTACTGAAAGGGCAGAAGCTGTGCCAAGACAGGTGGTCAGTGCAAAAGGACGGCTCCACACAGCTCCATCAGGAGTGTTTTCCTGCTGACCAGTCTCTGACCTGTGCCTTGCAGCATTGCAGACCCACTCTCCATGCACCCATATACTTGATCTGGAATTCTGAAGTGTTGTAATGAGACAATTTGATGAGAGCAACTTTGCAGCTCTACTTAATGTGAACGTTAAGGAAGACAAAAGGCAATTTATTTCTAACATCGCTTCTCTCAGCGCCTCTAATGTTTCTGCTTCTGAATCAAAGGGAGGCATTCTATAGTAAGACACTAATAAATAGCTTTTCCTTGGGGGAAGAAGTATTTTCCCATCTTTAAGAAATTTCTTTGGCCATGTGAAATTCAAATTTGTTAACTTGCCCTGCAAACAGCGACTCATTTAGAAACAAATTACAAATATTAGATGGAGACAGTGAACTTGATAATGCAGTGCTGCCACATCAGTTGTAGAATAATGCATCTTAATGAAGGCTTCCCATGTGAATAAACCATTATATTTACAAGCTTTTCACAGTTAATGACCCAGAACTGGATAACGAAACTCACATTTTTAGTGTGGTCCTCTGTCAGCAAAAGTATACATATTAATAATTGATGTTGCTGTGAAAATAGGGCATAATAGGAAGATTCTTGAGTTTCTGGGAAAATAGGACTACATGGTCCATTAACTTAAAATGCTTATCTAATGCTTGATGGGCTTTGTCTTTAAAATCCTTGTTCAAATTAATAAGGCAAAATGGACGTTTGCCTAAAAGAGAATTTCATTTCCAACTCATCAGTCACAAGTACACTGATGAGAGAGCTGTTTGATCTTCTGCTCTTTATTCCTTCTCCTCTGCAGAGAAGAGTGAAAGGACCAAAGTGAAAGGACCCACCAGCAGAGGGAAGGAGCAGTTCCAGGTAAGCCTACGTGATGAAAGCCTCTGTGCATACTCTCCTTCACACTTACAAGCCCAATTGCAGAGATCATTCTTTCCTAGCTTGAAATGTCTGCCTTTCTGCTTAGTCAGCTCAACAACTTTTCCCAACACAGACTGCTTTATTGTTCATTATAAAACACTTAGAGGTGTGCAGGCTGGCTGAACATGCTTAAGGCTAGAGTTCCACATCTAGGAGGCCCCATACTGTGGAACTAACTGCTCTTCAATTGTTCCATTACAGCTGCACTTACAAGGAAAGATAGTCTTCGTTCCAGTGAAATAAATACATTTCATTCCATTTCACGTTTCAAGGCTAACACTCATACGATGCCTGAAAGGTGGATTTACTGCAGCTTTTATTACTGGGTACTTAATTTAGAATGGTTTCTTTTCTTAGATCTGAAACGGCACAGCTGAAAGATGCACTGCGTGGTTTTAAGGGACTTTTTCACTCATTGTTTTGCTACAGACAGCATTGTCCAAGACTGTAATCCTTCAACAGATGTAGCGATTGAGTAGCATTTTGTTGCTTCAAACGTAGCAGAGTTTGTTTCTCCAGAGGGCTTTATTTTCCAAGCAAAGCAAGTATTTTTAATGGTCATTTATATTCATGAGCAGCGAAAGAGAATTTTTTTTTACATTTGAACTACACAGACAAGCACTCCTTACTAGCAGATGAAAGGAATATTCTACCTAAGCAGCTGGGGTCTTGCTCTTTGCTAATTTATCCTGCTGAATTTTAAGCTGTGATCCAAACTGTGGAAGTTTAGTGGATGAGTTGGCTGTGCTCTTCCTTTCTTGTTTTCTTGTTTTGCCTGGCTGCAGGAAGGATGGGTTTCAAAGAGTTCTCTTGTCTGATGAAGATTGTGTTCATATAGGTTCCATGCTACACAAATGTGGTGATAGCCACATCAATTATATGGCTGAATTCCTAAATTAGGCGCAAAAGAGGAACAACTAAACAAAATGTATTGCATTCATTAAAGCTTCCCTACTATACGATTCACTTCAATGGCTTTCCCAATTAAAGTAATTGTCATATGCATTCAAACAGAGCATTTTGTAGTAAGAGGCCTTGTTAGAAAAATATTGAAAAAGGCTGCTTCGTGGATTTATGCAATCTATAAATAAATATTGACATGTGACAAACTTCCATAAGCTCAAAGAGAATTGGAGGTGGAAAATGCCATCTGTATTCATGGCCATATAGGTTTATGTAATTGCAGTTATGTTTGTTTAGATCATATACGTGGCATGCTGTCAAACCTCTACTAAAACTGGCAAGTAGGTTTTGGACTCTGGAAGGCAGTGTGACTCCAGTCAATGAAAGCCAAATTATTCAGTGGGATTCTTGCTTGCCTGCACCGTTAGACAGACTAGTTATCACTCTTTAGATGTATCTGCGTGCCTGGCTAAATAACAGTGGCTTTTGCTGACATCTAAGCATCCTCTAGGCTGCAAGTATAACAGAAATCATTGCAATCTTAAGCCTGATAAAAACAGGCCTGGTGTGTAATGCTACCGTGTTTGCCCACTTCCAGGAACTGAAGAAATATTTCAAATGTTACGTATTTATGGAGCTTGCAGTTTGTCCAGTCCCATATAATATTTATTTAGCCATAGGCTTGAATGTTTACACTGAAGGCTATTCCAGGAAACACTGAGTTGTTTCTAACTGGGTGAAATGAATTATATTTATCAGGAATTCGAAGAACAAGCAATGTTTGGCAGGCTCTTTTCTCAGATATAAATAAAAGCATTAGCCAAGAAAACATGCCTAAATTAGGGTATGCTTAAAAGAGGTAAGCAGGAGAAAACAGTTATTTAAGACCACATTTGTCCACTCGTATATGAAGGATACAGAAGGAGGAAGAGCAGTGGAAATGTTTTGTGAGAAAGCACAGATAAGCAAACGTTGTGCCACTAACTCCTTGGTTAGGGCTGAAATGATGCAATAGAACAGTGTGAGAGCTGTGTATATCAGTAGGTTTGTGTCTGAGATGACAAGGAGCTTGTGTGGGTGCACATCCAAAGCATTCAAGGCTCAGTCCTATGAACTGCTGTGCTCCTTCTATGAAAACATGGGCACAGGGGATTTACAAGCCAAAAACAGACAAGTGGAAGTCTGCCAGTTTAAAAACCACAATAATGGCACACTGAATTGGCCTGCAATGGTAAAATAGAGCAAGAAAATACAGGTTGGCGTGTAGAACATATGAATGTTTTCAAGACAGTGTGTCTTTGAGCATTCTTAAGCAGTGTGGCTTAAGGACTTGTTTTGCAGCATTGGTTATGGTGGTGGTGCTGGGAGTTAACAGCAGTATGGCAGCAATGTCAGGAAGATCAGGAAATAGGTCAGGATACAGTTATCAAGATATATGTGCTCCTAGTGAGGCTTGCTTCTCTTTCCAAATTAAACTGGTATTGCAAATTGTGATTTATCGGAGATTTAGAAAAACATGTGCTGAGGGAATCATGCTGTTTCTGCAATTAAGCTTTAATAAATAATAATAATAATGAGGCCTTAGTTGTGAGCCAAGAAAAATCTCTGGAATACAGACTTCTACTCTGTCATCGGGCAAAAGAAATAGAATCAAATTCCAGAAAACAAACGTAAATTTTTCTGAAGTGAGGAGACAGTAAGGAAAATAATACCGAGTTAAGCAAAAGGTTGAACTCTCCTTGTTGCATGTATTTGCAGACTTCTGAGATGAACGTGACTGAATTTTTCCACAAATCGTTATTCAGAACTTCAAATGGTCTAGCTGTTTTTGTCAGGCACTCTTTACATGAAAGCAACACCCACATTTTAAAAATAACTATAATTACAAGAGAAATTACATTTATCGCAGTAAAAGTCAGGTCTCCTTTGGGATGGACTTGGAGTAATGGATGGCTAGAGCTTCTAATTTATCTGTGTCGTGCAGCATTAGAAAAGCAAATTCAACATATTTACACATGAAGATCTGTGGTCATTTTTTAGAGGGCTGACATGATCATACATCAAAGAGACTTGACCTTTGGAGCTCGCTGCCTATCTATCAGTGGGAACCCATGCTTTCTTGCCATTCATTTCCTTTGGAGAGCATGGATGGGAATGTGGCATGAAAAGTAAAAGTGGAACACAACGGGGAAATATAAAAATACCAGCAATATGAACAGATTATTTTTATTTAGAGGTATTCTTCCTCCCTCTCCCGCTTATTTTGATAATATACTTGATAAAGAGTAATGAGTCTGAGTGCAGAACTGAAAACATCAATTCTCTCGCTCCTAACTGGAGGTCAGGAAATGAATTCAATCCATGTGTTTGGTTTGAATTCCCTCCATCCCTGTGATCAAATAGATCTTCCTTCTCATAAAATGCAGTAGGTGGCTATTTATGCCCTAGTGATCTGTTACTCCTTCCATTGCCACTGCGAGAGGAGTGCTTGGCTGTGAAGACTTGTGAGAAACTGTTATGGGATTTGATAGGAAATGATCCCTTGTTTTGCAGAAGGTATATTGTCTAATATATATTTTCAGTACGTTCCAAACATTCCTCATTTAGTCTATGCCACTTAAAATCTTTGTCTTAAAGAGAGTCAGAATCAGAAGTCAAGCTCTGGTTACCTAAGCTGGCCACGCTTACTGTTAATGACTAGCAGATACGAAAGGCAATAATCCATAACAGTGTATCTGTATTTAACTTGGTGAAACTCAGATAAATGCACATGCTACTTCCTACGGATAAGATTTCATGGTCATTCTTAACTGATGACATGTGTTTGGCAGATGTCTGCTGCAGGTACAACTAGCTTTCATAAGAGCCATAACCTACTGAAGTGTAATCCCATTGCTGGCTAAGGAAATCTTTCAAACTCTCTGGGAGAAGCAGAAAGCGTATTTTCATTGAAAATTAAATCATTGTTTTTCAAATGATCATTTAAGAGCTATAATAAATAAACCAAATGAAAAGCAAAGATGGATCCTCTGCGAGGCAGGTGGAAGAAGCAGCTTCACAAGGACTTGAAGGAAGGGTGATGGTGGGAGATGATGTGCGTTCTGGGTTGGGGGAGATTCCTCTCTCTGTCTGCCTTGTCAGTAGGGTCACTTTCATTTCACTTTCACCCTATGCAATCTACCTGACCACAGACTTCCCTATAATTCTGCAATATTTAGGTTCTCTGTTCCTACACTGACATTGCAGTGTGGTAATTCTAATGTCCCTTTCCCTTCTCTTGCCATACGCACACGCTAGGTTGCAAAAGATTGTGAGAAGACACTGCTCTTTTAATTCTTCAATTGTCTTGGCCCTCTGAATTAAAAAATGATAATAGAATTCCCTTTCTCTGTCATGCCTGCATCACATTCCTGAGGCAAACTCTAAACTGTCCCCTTCTGCCATGTGCACTGTGTACACAAAGCACAAGAGCTTAAGACAAATTGAGGTACTTCTGTGCCATCTATCATTTCTGTTTAGTTCTGCATTCCTTAGAGACTCCTTTTAAGTAGGGAAGACTCTTAGAAATTAATTTCTTGTCTTCTGTTAAATTAGGAAAGTCTGAAGAACAAACAGGCTATGGTACTTTATGTTCTCTAGACAGCACCACTTACCATCCCCAGAAATATCATTTCCTCTTCTCTCATTTTCTCTGTTTTCTTGCGCTGGATATATCCTCGCCAAACCTGAATTGTAAACAAAACTCTAATGAGATAAATGGGCCTCGTTACAGCTTCCTTTGTTGTGGCAGACAGAGGAAAAAACAAATAGAGGAAGGAAGGGCACAATATACAATTGAAACTATTACTCTTTAACAGGTTAGCAGCTGCTGTGTTCTTTAAAAAAGAAATTCTTAAGTTTGTTATCCTCTCGCACTGGCAGACCTATCTTCTAGCACAACAACATCAGGGTTCAGAAAGTGTTTAAGGATTTAGAGTGAATTCCTGTTCTCATCAGGCTGAATTATTCCAAATTACTCATGCATAAGGAATTTTCCTGGAATTTAGCATTCTCATTTTTCTCAAGATATGAAATGAACTCTTTCCCCAGGGACCCCAGGAAAAGGCACTGCATTTCAAGGTGATGCCAGAAAGAGCAATTGAGGTCATAAAAATCAGAGCAGAAAAACAACATGTAGGTTATAGAGTCATCCTGCACCGCCGGAGCAGAGTTGTTTCCATTGATCTCACCTCTAGGGTTATGGCTCATTTTTTTAAGTGGCTTAAATGATGTATTTCACCTTGCTAAACACCCTGAGAGCAATCCATTCAGAGTGTTTCCCACCCCATGAGCTGTGTTGCTCTCTCTACCGCTGTTCTTCTGAATAAAACATATTGTCCCTTGCTCTCGGCAGAACTCTCGTTACATCAAAGCTCTCACCTTTTGAATGCAGGTGGCGGCGTCATCTGGATTTGGACCAGCCTGTTCCCGAAGTTTTGTATGTCTTTTTCTCTTCTGTTCAAGGTAGATTTGCTTCATGAATAATGCTCGACGCCGGCCTTGGCGAGCCCGCTCTGCCACCTGGATCATTTTAATGGCTTCTTCAAATGTCATGGCCTTGACAGGTTTCTTCAGCAGCGCAGCCAAAGAGGAAAGGACAAAGCAGAGCGGTTTTGTTAACTGCCTACCTCAGTTAGCAGATGAGACAGTGAATTAACCTTTAGTGGAAACCTTCTAAGACAAAACATCTCTGCTACAAACAGCAGAGACTCTTCTTGCAGGGCCATCATGCGGTATTTTTGAAATTTGCTACCTCCAGAGACAATTTTTGAGGAGAAAGTGAGCCTGACACACTGCTGTCGTTTCTGTGGCATCCCAGGTAGGTAGGTGGCGAGACTGGACATAGCAGAATGAATGGGTGGAAGATGGAGAGAAAAGAGATGCTAAAACTCTGGGGCACACCTCTGAGCAGCAAGGAACTCCTCATCCTATAGTGGGAAACACAAATGGTTTATGCTACCTGCTAAGCGTTACCCATTTGGGAGAAAAGGCATGAAGAACCATAGAGCTTTCTCCCACTAAAAGAAAAACTCCTTGGGCTGTGCAATGTCTTCTTTTTTATTATTTTATTTTTCCTCTGGTTTCTGTAGGGATGGGTTCCTGGATGAGCTGCTGGATCTTCAGCTCTTTTGCTGAGTGAAACAACAGGCTGATTTGAGCTAGCCAGACCTGGTCAGAAGGTCTGACTTAGGGAAAAAAGCATGTCAGAACAGGGCAGCTGGAGAGAACTCCTCCTTCCCACTTCTGAGAACTCATCAGTGCCTCGTGTTCCCCATGGAAAGGCTGAATTACTGTCCTTTCCTGACATTAATCCCCCTATTGGAGACAGTTCACATTCAGTGCTTCTATATATATTGTGTGGAGCTCGCTATACAACATTTTCAGCAGGGCTTTCTACAATGGAAATACACAGGAGAACAAATGGTCTGTGCAGCAGATTCCTTTAATAAGCCCGTGTCCTCTGATAAAACTCCAGAGTTTTGTGTGTACTCTCAGCTGTTTGTAACAGTGCTGCCATGGACACTCAGCAGCACAGTGCTCTGCTGCACAGCAGTCAGGATTTCCTGAGCGTACACAGCTTGCTGTGATGCATACAGAGGTGCTGATAACCCTCCAGCAATCGCAGCAGTGGTGGAACTGGAGTATAGCACAAGGCATGGGATTCACAGTGGGTTCATATGAGATTGTTTTCTTCATGTTTATTGAATCTTGTTGTGACAGCCTGGCAAAGGGAACCTGGACCCTGCCAGAGCATGGTGCTCGCAGGTGAGCTGGCTGCACACTGGAAAGACTCACCTGCTCATGGCTGCCATGCTGAAAAGGAATGAGAACAGAACTGTGGGAAACAAAAAGACTCCAAGAAGTAACAGAGGATTTCCACAGACCGACATCAGACCATTACAGAATTTACCCATAAATTTACTGTGGAGGCCAGCGGGGCTGCAGCTGCCCATCAAAGTAATCTGTGTTCTGCCTCTGCAGACTGCTTCTTTCTGTGCCTGGGAACCTTCCCTCGGTCGCTCTGTGGGATCAATGCTACCACATACCCAGCAGGGAAGCAGACTTCCCCCAGCAGCACAATTACTGCGGAGGATTCGGTGGCTGTGGGTCTGATCAGGACCGTCTCTTATGGCTGCAGCATCTACAAACCTCACTCTGCAGACACAGCAGCCCAGTTGTTTATTTCAGGAGGTGAGAGGGCTGCTTGCGGGCAGCGGGCCATTTCCAAGAGGTCAGAAGTATATCAAATCCAGAACAGTCTTCACCAGAGCACTCATGTACTTCTCCATAATGACTTCTGCTCTGCCAAAACCCAATTTTCTACTCCTCCTAGCAGCTGCAGCTCGATGGCTGTATGAAAGAGACTGCAGTCATTGTTTGGAGGTTATAAACAACTGAATGCTGCTGTGCTGACCTGAACTCTGAGTTTTGCCCATTCCAGCCAGAAACCCTGGCTCAGTAAAACTGAAGCTCACCTTGATTTCAGTAGGACTGATTATGTGAGGAGAGTTAGCTGGGTAAATAAAGCAGCTTCTAAGCTTGAGCCAAGCGCTGCCCTTTCTCTGACACTCGCACACACGGAGTCAATTCATTTCTGCAGCCTTAGGCTTGAGATGTGACTGGGTATTGTTAGGCAGAAAAACTCAATGCAACTTTCCGTTTGAGCCTCATCTTCAAATGGACTTAACTACCATAAAAATACTTCTTACTTCAGTGGCTCACGCTCAGACATGCATGGCTATAAGCTACAAAATTAAGCATGTTATTGTGTAGCTACATGGCATGCTTACCTGTGTTGCCAATCCGGCATTCAACAAAATCTCATCCAGAGTTTTCTCTCTCTGCTGCAAGCCTTCCAGATTCTCCTTAATAAAATACTTTGGGATAGGTATTTCTGTGTCTTCCTATAGGAAAAAATAGTTGTGGGGTGCTTTTTAAAACTGCATGAAAATCATATTACTTATTAGCTGCACACCTTTGCAAAGCAATTAAATGGCAGTGAGATTATTGAATTTTTTTGGAGTGTTAGGGAACCTGAGCTCTGTTACAGCTGCCGAGCTGTTACTTTGCAATCACTTAAGTCCTAATTCAACAACAATAAATAAATCAGCCCAGTATCTGAACCATAGCAGACCAGAAATCTTTCTTTCGATAATGGCTCAATTATATTATGGAACTGTTAAAACATTTGGCAGGGCTGCCAGTAATTTAAACATGATTTCTGTGGAATTGAATACCTCTGGCTGTGTGATCATCCCACTTCTTTTTCTAATCAGCATGAAAAATAGATCAGTTCTCCTGCATTTTTTGGAACCCTTACAAGGAACCAAAGCATATAATTCAGTTTGCCTTCAGGTATTTTTACACTGCCAATGACTGGGATATCTCAGTTACTACTCGCAATCAGGCCTGATTAGAAGAGGTTGTCTTTATTCATTTCCATCATTGAGAGGATGTAAACAATTCACATTTCTACCAACTCTTCTCCTACAGAATGTCACTCTTGAGATTTGGAATAAGACGTGGGCAGGCAGACAGAAATGCCCCAAAAGTGAAGACGCTGCAGTGGCATAACCTGTTGTTTGTATTGTATTGAATCATAGAATGGCCTGGCTTGAAAAGAACCTCCAAGATCCTCTAGTTTCAACCCCCTGCTGTGTTGCAGGGTCGCCAACAACCAGACCAGGCTGCTCAGAGCAAGTGGTTTGTCTGGATGACCTTGCATACGATGAGTCAGTGCAGGGATGAGGAGCTGCTCAGCTAGCTAACCTGGGCTTTAATCACCAGAAATTCTGGGCTGTGAGTTTTACTGAATGCAAAGATGAAATCCAAGCCATAATACCGAGACAGGCAGGAGTGGGGAGCACACGGACAGCTTCTCTTCATAATCTCTTTTTGAGGCCCAACACTGAAAGATCAGATTTAAGATGTTTATCCTCACGTCAAATTTGCAGCCTTTTATGCAACACCCAGCTCCGTATGGGATGTGTGTATCCAAATACCTTTATAATTACCCTAGTAAATGGAGTCACTGAGTGCTGGAAGGCAATTGTACAAAAATCAGACGAAGATGAAACTTGGCCCTGCCTCTCCTTAGCAATATAGCAAAAAGGAGAGGAAACATGGTACAAAACTTCTTCAGCTCTTTTCATTTTATTTTTCCTTTTATTTTTGTAGTAGCTAGGCACTTCATGCCTTCCTAAAACAAAGGTGTGGCACAGGGATTTGAATTCGTGCTTGGCTTTTACTAGATGTCAAACATTGCTTTTCAGGCTTGCCAACTCTCCCCTGCAGGTGGATTTACTGATAAGTCACGAAAAGAGCAACCCTTAATGATTTCTGAATACCACTTGAAGGATCAGTTCCCCCACAGGTGTGTTTATACTCTCCAGTATGCCTTCTCATAGCTCAAAATAATGCTCTGCTGTGCTTAAAAGTGAAGGGATGGTTGAAATTCTTGGCAATTGCTAGCCTAAGTTTGCAGCGTGAACTACGCGTGCAATTTCAGCCAGTACTATGGCTGCGTATCTCAGATTAATGCTGCATAGGAGGCAATTTATCTCAAGTTATAGCTGAAATCCAGAAAGCAGCCGTACTTGAAGCTTCAATTATTTAAGAGCTGTTATCAGTGGTACCTAAACGTGACAATAGGTGGAGCTGTCTGCGAGAGAAGTAAGTAGCTGTTAACAGCTCATTTCTCACGCTGCTTTTACAGCACAGCCTCAAGATTTTGCCTTATAATCAAGGCAGACCTACCGGGAGAAGCTTTAGATCTTCAATGATATTATCAGTGTAATGAAACTCCGAGTTCTCCAGCTCCACCATCTCTTTCTTCACCTCCAGGATCCGGCCAATCACTCCATCCAGCACTTTCCGAATCGCTGCCCGTTTCTGCTGGTGAATGAGGTGGCTGTGGGCCTCCTCCAGGTGATGGAAGATCTGTAGGTACTCGATGTAGGAAGCAGACAGCATCCTGAATGCTTTCACACGGTCCTTCTCCGGCTGGAGGAAATGTTCTCTCTCTGTCTGGAGTCGGGTGTCAAGGTCTTTCTGGGCGTTTGTCCATATCTTATTGTAGGTGCTGACAGAAAAGAGGAGACCATCTTAATGAGACATAACAGCTCGCACGTAGGGATGTCAGGACTCCACATGCCTGGTAGTGCAAACCATTATATTTCCAAAGGGAAAGGGCTGTGCTGGTGCCAATGACAGAGTGTATCTGCGTATGCTATTTCAGAAGTGAAGGATTATTCTTTTCATTGCACTCTAAACAACTGCTGAGCATGTGGTCCAGAGGCTGAAGGGCTATGCGACATGGAAGATGTAGCCTAACACCAGATTTGTTTGCTGAAATGGCTATGCCATTTATCCAAAGACTTCTGCACTTTTGGTGGCAATGGGCTGAGCTCTGATGAATTGGCCATCAGTGGCTTTTCATTCTAAAAGCAGATTGATGCTGAATAAAGAAACAAACCAAAGCAATTACTTGTGTTCAGACACAAGCCCAAACAGCAGGTTTGTCATTTGATGGTGGTAACACCCACGGTAATGAAAGATCCTTTCAGCTGGTCCAGTTCTGCTTCACAAACTCTCTTCTAACAGAGAAAGCTGACTTGTTTCTTACACCTAGAAAGAAGGCTGCTGAGCTCTGTGGTAAAATCTAGACCCATCCACGCACTCAACCTGGCCATTGCTTGCAGCTCTGAGAACCTCTCAGAGTAGCATGAAGACAATAAAACACTCTGCCTTCATTAAGTGAGCTTTCAGGGCAGGTCTCTTGCCGTTCCGAGCAGCACTTGTATATTCATTCTGACAAGAAAGCTGGGCAGCTGTTAACTTTGCTTGTGCTTGATAAAAAACGCCTGAGAAGGAGCTCTATCAGCTGATCTTATCATTCCCTGTACTCTGAAAGTACAGAATGACCCACTTCCATTGCAAGAGAGACCGAGGGGTGGCAGGACAACGCTCCAGCCCACAGGCTCATGTGCTCAAAACATGGGCGTGCTGCATGGCCAGGATGCTGACAGAGCTGCCAGGACTCACCGGAGCAGCGAGCAAAAACATCAACAATCCCACCTCTGCTATTGAATTTGCTCCATTAACTTTTTCAAGTGCATACTATACTTTTCAGCTGACCTGCATTTATGCAGGATGCAGCTGGTCCTGCTTTTCCTACTGCCTCTGCAGCCCACCCAGTTCTTTCCCCTTCCTTTTTTCCTGCTTCATTTACATCCCTTAGCAGCAAGTGAATCACTCAATTGCAGCGATTAACCCAGGTGTGGGAGATAAACAAAATAAAGCCAGCAGAGTGGTCAAGCTGGCCACAAACAAGTGCACCGTTAGGTTTGACTTCGTGGCTTGGGCTGGTTGGTCAATGGGTGTTTTGTGCTCTGTCTCTGAGGCCAGGAGGGTGTCTGCTGATGAGATTCATTAGCACAGAAGGAAACAACGTGGTATTGTACTTGCTTAGCTTTTGCCTACCCGCAGACAACTTGGTAGTAGAAAGGTTATAAGCCTTTGAGGAAGCTTGGCTCTGTAGGCTGTCTGTGCTGCTATGCGGATAACTTATAGTCAGCAGGTATCTTCAGGACAGAGCCTTTCTAATGCAGCCTATTGCACGGAGACAACAGGTTTGTACTGAAACAACCGATTCTGCAATTGTCCACTCCAAGTTACAATAACCTCTTTTTGTCCCTCCTCTTAAGCAAAGAATGTTGAGTGGTTCCCCCTGCTGAGCCAGCTAATATCCAGTTTCTTTTTCTGTTTTGAATGACTTCTTGATGGAGGTGGGGGGAAGAGAGCCTTAGCCCTTCAGAGTATGCTAATGTAAGGCAATACAAATAGGACATAATTGTTTCCATAAAGCATTTGCTTATCAGATAAGCATGAAGATGGCCGCAAGCACGTTGCTACGAGCCTTAATGGCAAAACTATGGGTGTTACGTTTGCAGGTTTCATCAGTGCTGATGTTCTGAGAAAACGTGGGCGAAAGAAGAGCCAGACTGAAACGAAGCATAGAAGGATAGACGCAGAACTGCTAGATCTTCAGCTGCGGTAAGTGGGCAGTGCTGTCAGGGTGAGTTATACCCCTGGAGGGTCTGGCCCCGGAGCCCCTGTGTGGTTAGCTAGGTGTCTGGGAACAGCATGTGCTCCATAGCTGGCTGCTGCCAGCAGAAATGCGCCTCGAGTGTCTCTTTGGATCACCCTGATTAGAAACCAGAGGGCACACATACAGCCGTTTGTTTCTCCTCTTCAAAGCAGGATTAAAGTAATTACTTCAGGTTTTGCTAGTGACTGAAAAGAAGCCTTTCTGGGCTAGTTTGAAGGATCAGAAATGCGTGGTGTTTATAGCTTTTTTTTTTTTTTTTGGAGGACTTGGCTCTTCAGGAGCAGCTTAATTTTGGAGTGACTGAAGGGAGTGCGTGTGTGCAACTCATCCTCAAGATGATGCATTTAAAGCAAAGGACAGGCCTGACTCTTCTTGTCTCTTTATCAGACAGCACATGATCCTGAAATCCCTGTTTGAATCTTTCCCTCTCTGCTCAGTCTCCTTCTGCATTAAGTTGTAAACTCCCTCAAATTGCTTCCACATGCTGAGGGGGGGATACAACACAGCCTTGGGTGCACTGGCTTTTTATTTAGTGTTACTGGTTCACCTTGTAGGTTTGCTAGGCTGTGAGCTATATGTGTGCACTGGGATGACATTGCACCAAAGATGGATTAGAGCATCTAACTAGCCCACTAGTACAGGTAATCAGCAGGACTGAATGTAGTTTTCCTACTCGAGGCCTGAGTTTATTAAAACCCAGAGAAGAAGTCTGTCTCTTGATCTCTGCATACAGTCTGTGTATAGTAAAGTAATGCTGCAAATTGTCATAGCAACTCAAAATAAGAGTGCTGTGGGGGAAATAAGGAACGTTGTAATGGGATGAGGAAAAAGCACATTAAGTGACTTAACTCCAGAGCCCCCAGAGCACTTTTCTGGCAGCTTACAGCATGGAGTGAAGGTCAGGCCTTTCCTCCCAGCCAGCATCCCTTCTCTTTGCTCCCACAAAGTAGAAACAGGGTGTAACACAAGTAGATAAGAACACTCCCTTGCTGTAGCATGACTTCTAGCACAAACTCCGCTTCTAGTGCTCCAAATGAAGTCTGATCTGCATATTAAATGAAGCTTAGAAATAAGACTTTCTTGTTTAAGTTAAGAAATTTTTAAAATATTGCCGAATGATAGGGCTCTGGAATATTAAAACAAGGCAATGCATAACTTCACATGTTTGTTTGACCCATCTCTTATAAATAAGAGAAATCTGCTGGTGCTTAGTACAGCTGAGATTAGCCTGCCTGCTTGCCTACAACTGGTTTAGAGACTTGAAGCACAGCCTCCTGGAAGGATCTGTGCTGAGCACGCAGACTGTCCTCAGACCACTCTTGAGCCAGGACTGGAATCTGGCATCAGTGGGGTTGCTTTTGTGAGGCTCCCCCCCCCCCCCCCCCGCCCTCAAGTTGTCCTGTTCTTATTTAGCAGCCAAAGGGAATGCTTTGGACAATGCCAAAGGACACAGTACAGTTTGTGCTCCAAGCTGTTGGCTTATGGTCTCGTGTATGGGCTGCACCCAGGCTTCCTTGATGCCTGGCTTTTCTGGGCTGTCCTCTGAGAGCAGAAATAGCTCTAGATCCAAGCATGGAAATGCACAATATAGCACTGCATGGGCCCTGCTCTATTTTTTTGATAGATGGCCAAATGTAAAGAGATAGAAGGGAAACAACTCCGAACTGGTGTTTCTCTTCACCTAACATAGAAGCTCCCTTGTTTGATTGTACTGAGGGTTGTCCTAGCTATTTTTGAAGATGCATTTGAAGCATCTATACTGCTGTTGAAAACAACTTGACTGTCAGCTCTCCTGAAGGTGAGACTATCCTGTATAAAAGGGAATGGAGGAAGGACCAGCAGAACTTCTGAACTGAATATGGCCCAGGAATCTGTGTGCTGGAGCAGGGAACTCTGGGCACTGACATGTGCTCACCACAGAACGGATCAAAACAGCAGGATGTTTAACTGCATCAGTGGACAAGGGAAGAGCTGGCTGATGTCATCTGTGTGGATTTTAGTAAGGTGTTTGACACAGCCCCCATAACATGCATAACACATCAGAGGGATGGGATGCCATCTAGAGGGAGCTAGACAGGCTGAGCAGTGGGCACAGGTGAACCTCGTGAGGTTCAGCAAACCCAAATGAAAAGGTGTGCACCTGGGTTGTGGCAGCCCCTGCTACAGTGCAAGCTGGGGGATGTAAGGATGGAGCATGGCCCTGCTGGAAAAAGAAAGGGAAACGGTTTCAAACTAAAAGAGGGGGATTTAGGTTGAATATAATGAAGTTTTTTAAAATAAGGGTGGTGAGGCATGGGAACAAGGTTGCCCAGAGAGGAAGTGGATGCTCTGCAGATATCCAAGGTGAGGCTGGACGGCGCTTTGAGCACCTAATAGAGCTGTAGGTGTCTCGTTCTCTGTAGGGGAGTTGGACCAGATGGCCTTTAAAGGTCCCTTCCAGCTCAACTGAATGTAGGTATGCAGCGTCAAGGTGTCCGTGCAGGGCTGCAGGCGACTGAGATGTGGGCCAAGCAACAAGGAAGTGTGTGCAGGGGCCAGCCCTCAAGTCTCCTGTAGATGCTTGAGGCTTGACAGACCAGCCATTGTGCTAAGCCCTGGGCAAACAGGAGGCAGGGAAACCCTGCCCTACAGTGTTTGTGAAAATAAAGAATCAGGAGACAAAGGTTGGAGGGGAAAGTGAGGCCCCGAGAGGAAAAGAGGCTCGCACAAATGCAGCTGCTTTGCTTCTACCTATAAGTCACCAGACTTGAGCTGACTGCTGGTCTGTTGCAGTCAGCAGAGTGCCTGTTCCACCAAGACAAACTGCTCAGGTGACTGCTGGGCTCCATATATTATAGGACAGAAGCAGAGATCATCATGGCCTGTAAGAATGAAAAGAAATAGGTGTGAACATTGTTCAAATCAATTCCTGCTTTAAAAGCATTTAGCCTGTGGTCTGGAGCACTGCTGACTCATGGAATAGAACTTGGTCAGGCCTTGCTCCTAACACAACAACAGCCCAATAATTGTGCCAAAATTCTTAGCTGTTGGTAGGGATAATGCTGCTAGACATCTTCCCTTCGGCTTGCTTCCCCTAGCCAGGATGTCATACAGAATCAAGTATTTGGGGAACTAAAGCACAGACCTAAAGCTCAATGCAGTTATGCCCACACCACAGCTTATTGGTGTGGCAATGAAGTTTATTTCTCTATTCATGATCCTTTTTTCTTTCTTTCCGTTCCTTAGCAAAGGAAAGGTCCATCTAGCTGCCTGTGGTTACATGCATAAAGCACAGATGCTCTGTCTGGGTGCTGCTCTACCTCTGCTAGGCTCTGTGCTCATTTAAAGTTAATGCTGTCTCCTTGGTTTCTTGGAAATTGTGGCCTCTTCTTTCAACTGTTTTGTAGCACAAGTGCTGCTGGGATATTTCCACTGACAATACTTTTTCCCAAAGGAGGAAATGTCTGAGCAACGCATGAGATCTTTCCCTGCCTGCTCATTACAGATGAAGGGAGGCATGGGAAGGAGTTGCAGCTTTGAGAATAGTTATGGTCGTTTTGATTCTGTCTCTTTTTCTCCTGCTTTAATATAAGGGGGATGACACACTGATGCTCACCAGGGGTGGAGAAAGGGGTGAAGATGAATCTGTGGATGTTTGGGAGAGAACATGATAGGAATGCCCAGAGGAAGTTAATAATTGTGGTGTTTGAATGGAATTTGAAGAATACGGCCTGGGGGCCACGGGGTGGATGAAGGGGAAAAAAAATGAAATGTTCAACAACAGCCCAATCGCTGAATGAGCCTTGGGCCCAGCGGGAATAGGATGTGATCACAGAATGAGAAGCAGCATCATAGTACAGCCACCTAAAGCAGAGAGGAAAAGGGGATGAAAAGTTGTTCTGACTTTCTCTTACCTTTTCAGTTCTTGGTTTTGCAGCCTTAATTGTCTTTAACCAAGCTTTGGGGGTGTAATATAATACATGTAGCTTTCCTTTGGTTGCTCGTCAGAAGCAAAAGTGGCGACTCTAAAATGTCTTAGGTTAATATTTAACCATTGGCTTTATTATGTAAGTTCTATTTGTGACGTGAGATTAAATTTTTAGAGCTTTTTGATTGCTTAAAGCTCCTCGGTGGCAGTGGCAAATGTCTTACAGCCGATTAAAGTCTGGTACAAAAGGGAGCAGTGCCAGGGCTCAGCTTTGAACATGTCTAGACTGGGGCTGGTAGGGCAAGTTAAGGTCAAGATTCTATCGGTCAACTAAATGGTAAGCAAATTCATGAAAGAGGAGGAAACACAGCAGGAAAACATAAACGCAATAACATCAATGCAAATCTCCTGTTCAGTATCTGGAACAAAATGTACATCTGTATGCAAATGCTGGGGCTTTGAGTACTTTAGGAAGCGGGATATATTGCTCCTTAATCAACCTTACAGCAAACGTAGTGGGCGTGCTTTCTCGTGAGTGCTACAACTGTACTTAGAAAATGTCAAGCCTGTCTGCACGTGCCAACTTTTCTTTTAGCTGGCTGATGGAGCACGTAGGCCCTAAGAGAATGCAGCTGAGTGCTTTGGGTGTCCCATCTCTAACTTGATATAAAGCTCCCATAAGCTGCAAACCACGCTTCCATTAAAAGCAATAAACTCACAGTGCCTTGAGGATGGCAGTGCTCCTCAAGAAGGGGCTGGAAATGCTGTGAAAGCTGTGTGCGGTGTAATGCTGTGCTGCAGGCGTTGCCAGCATGTCTGCTTAGAGATGCAGTGCATGCGGGACAGCTGCCCTGTGCACATGCTTAGTAAATCCAGCACGTCCGACTGGCTGCACCAGACGTGTGCAATTCCTCTCTGTGCTGCAGCAGCTGTTTTTTCCAGATGTCTGAAAAGCAGCCTCGAACTCGAGAAAAAGCCGTGTGCTGTGTAGCATTTCTATCCAGGACACAGGATGTGGCTGCACAGCATTGAAATATC